ACAGCTGCAGATCATTCAAAAACAGCTGGAACAGTACATAGACAGGGAATTGCCAGAAGTTCAAGCAGGATTTAGAAGAGGCCATGGCACCAGGGATAACAGTGCTGATATCGGATGGATTCTGGCTGAAAGTAAGGAATACCAGAAGAACGTGTATTTGTGCTTTATTGACTATGCAAAGTGCTTGACTGTGTGGATCATGACAAGTTGTGGCTGACATTGAGAAGACCTTGATAATAGACCTTTGCATATCCTCTAGTTCTAAAACTCAAGGACTAGCAACTTACTGTCCTAGAATGTTTGGTTTCAATTAAGAAGCATGTGTAGTTTTGCCTCTATTGACTCTTCCATATGTTGTTTGTTGTTATGTGCTGTTGAGTCGCTTCGACTCATAACGATCCTATGTACAACAGCCCTATACCCTGCTCTATCCTGTGCCAATCTTACTGTCGCTGACACACCTACTCCCATTACCCTAGTCATTGAATAAATCTATCTCTTCGAGGGTCTTCCTCTCTTGCGCTGCCACTCCAATCTCCTAAGCATAATGTCCTTTTCCAAGGACTGGTCCTTTCTTGCAACATGTTCAAAGTATGTCAGATGAAGCCTCAGAATTCTTGCCCCCAATGAGATGCCTGGTTTCTCCATTGCCATGATGAACCTATTTGTTCTCCTATCAGTCCATGTTATATTCAATACTCTTCTCCAGCACCACAGCTCAAAGGAATCAATTCTCCTTCTATCATCCCTAGTCATTGTCCCACTTTCTGATGCATAGCAAGTAATTGCAAAGACCATGGTCTGAATCAGGTAGACATTAGTCTCAGACTGACATTGTTGCTCTTCAGCACTTTGGAGAGGTCTCTGACAGCAGACTTTCTCAATGCAATTTGTCTTTTAATTTCCTGGCTGCTGGTACCAAGAGGGCTGGTTATGGAGCCAAGCAAACTGAAGCTGTTAATAATCTCAATCTTTTCCTTGTCTATCATGATGCTGCCAGTTTGCCCAGTGGTAAGAACCTTTGTTTTCTTGATGTTGAGCTTCAATCCATCTTGAAGGCTGCAGTCCTTGACTTTCTGCAGCAAGTACTTCAGGTCATCCTCAGTTTCTTCCATATAGATGGATATGTTTACAGTATAAACAATTATAAATGTAGAAATAACATATGACAAACCCATGCATGGTCATGGATGTAGCCTTTACCTGTCCATAACTGTTTGTCTTGCCTGTTTGCCTAAAGAGCTGTTTGTAGATTAATGCATATCATTGCTGATATTCCAGAATTATGTATACATTAATGGTCCCTTTAGTGGACTGTATCTCTTGTGCACATCTCCATGTTCATTTGTTTGGAGGTACTAAGCTCACCATCTTCTTGATATACTTTGTCTTTCTCTTCATCCTTCTTACTATGTGATGATTAACTTTTTACTCATTTTTACTTTCTTTCCCATCCCTGCTGTTCAGAAGGAATTGGGGGAAAACAAGGCCTGAGGAATTGATGGGATACCAATTGATGTATTTAAAAAAACAGATGCTGCCCTGAATGTGCCCACTAAGTTGTGCCAAGAAATCTGGAGGACAACCACCTGGCCAACTGACTGGAAGAGACCTATATTTGTTCCCATTCCAAAGAAAGGTGACCTTACAGAGTGCGTTAATTATCAAACAATATAATTAATCACATGCAATCAAGATTCTGCTGAAAATTATCCAAAAACAACAGAGAACTGCCAAATGTGCAGACTAGGTTTAGAAGAGGCCGTGGTACTAGGAATATTATAACTAATGTTAGATGGATCTTGGCTAAAAGCAGAGTGTACTAGAGGAATGTCTGTCTGTGTTTCTTTGATTATGCAAAGGCATTTGACTGTGTGAATCACAAAAAACTGTGACTAACTCTGAGAAGAATGAGAATCCCAGAACACTTAATCATGGTTATGTGAGGCCTATACTTGAACCAGGAGGCAGTCATCAGAACAGAGCAAGGAGACACTTCATGGTTCAGAATTGGGAAAGGTGTACACCAGGGATGTGTCCTATCCCCATACCTTTTCAGTCTATATGCAGACAGATTATCCTGGAGGCTGGCTCTATGAGAAATGTGGCATCAGGATTGGAAGGAAACTCATCAACAACTTGTGTTATGCAGATGACACAACCCTACTTGCTGAAACTGAAGAAGACCTGCTTGCTGCAGCCTTCAATGTGGAAGCACAACATCAATAAAGATTCTCATCAGTGGGCCGATTAGCCGCAACGTGATGGATGGTGAAGAGATTGAGATTGTTAACAGATTCAATTTGCTTGGCTCCACAATCAACACTCTTGGCACCAGTAGCCAGGAAATGAATAGATGAATTGCATTGGGAATGTCAGGGAGCTCTCCAGAGTACTGAAGAACAATGATGTCATCCTGGAGACTAAGATGCACCTGCTCCAGACTATAGTCTTCACAATTACTTGCTATGTGTCAGAAAGCTGGAGAATGACTAGGGATGATAGAAGAAGAATTAATGCCTTTGCATGGCGGTGCTGGATAAGAAGAGTATTGAATACCACGGACTGCTAGGAGAACCAACAAGTTTGTCCTAAAAAGGGTGAAACCAGGCAGCTTCTTGGAGGCAAGGATTCTGAAGCTTCGTTTTACATACTTTGGGCATGTTCCAAGAAGGGACCAGCCCTTGGAGAAGGATGTCATGCTTGGGAGGATAGGGGGACAGAGCAGGAGAGGAAGACCCTCAATGAGATGGATTGACATAATGACTTGAGTAATGGATAAAGTTGACAAAAGAGAGAGCAGGGTTCAGAGCTGTTACATATAAGGCTGCAGTGAGTCGCAAGCTACTCAATGGCACATAACAACAACAACAACAACAACAACATACTTGAGATTTCATCCAAGGGCTGGAAAGTGATAAATTCACTGAGCACATTAATGGGGAGTAATGAGAGGAAGGTCAGAGAAAGAGATTGTAATGATCATGAGGATGGCATAGGGTAGGGAAGGTTTAGGTCTGTTGTTTATGGGTTTGCTATGTGTGGCTGACTCTGAGAAGAATGAGAATCCCAGAATATTTAATCGTGCTAATGCGAAACCTATACTTGGACCAAGAGGCAGTAGTCAGAACAGAGCAGGGTAACACTGCATGGTTCAAAATTGGGAAGGATGTACACCAGGGATGTGTCCTGTCTCCATACCTTTTCAACCTGTATGCAGAGCAGATTATCCGGGAGGCTGGGCTCTATGAGGAGAATTGTGGCATCAGGATTGGTGGAAGATCTATTAACAATCTGCGTTATGCAGATGACACAACCCTGCTTGCTGAAACTGAGGAGGACCTCATGCACTTGCTGCAAAGGGTCAAGGACTGCAGCCTTCAGTATGGACTGAGGCTCAATGTCAAGAAGACAAAGATTCTCACCACTGGACCAATTGGTAGCATCAGGATGGATGGCGAAGAGATTGAGATTGTTCACAGCTTCAGTTTGCTCGGCTTCACAGCCAATACCCTTGGTACCAGCAGTCAGGAAATAAAAGAACGTATTGCGATGGGAAAGTCTGCTGTTAGGGACCTCTCCAAAGTACTCAAGAGCAACGGTGTCTCTCTGGAGACTAAGATGTATCTGATACAGGTCATGGTCTTTGCAATCACTTGTTATGCATCAGAGAGTTGGACAATGACTACGGAGGACAGAAGGAGAATTGATGCCTTTGAGCTGTGGTGCTGGAGAAGAGTATTGAATGTACCATGGACTGCCAAGAAAACAAACAGATTCATCCCGGAGAGGATTAAACCAGGTGGCTCCCTGAAGGCAAGGATTCTGGGGCTTTGTCTGACATACTTTGGGCATGTTGTAAGGAGGGACAGGTCCTTGGAGAGGGGCATCATGCTTGGGAGGGTGGAAGGACGGCGCAAGAGGGGAAGACCCTCTATGAGATGGATTGATTCAGTGACTGGGGTAATCGGGATGGGTGTGTCAGAGGCAGTGCAACTGGCACAGGATAGAGCAGGGTTTAGGGCTGTTGTACATAGGGTCACTATGAGTCTCAAACGACTCGATGGCACATAACAACAACAACAACAACATGGTCATAATCACACCGTGACTGCTGCAATGGGATCTTGTGTGTCAGGAAGTGTGAAGATGGCACAGGACAGGACTGGGTTCAATCTTTTGTTCATAGTGTCGCTATGAGTCATACGTGACTCGATTGCAACTGTCAACAACAACAACAACAACCACCAAGTTATGATCTTCTTGATCATGCCTAACAATAGCAACAACAACAGCAGTAATGGTTGGAGCAATAATGGTTGGATTTAGGCTTTTTTGGAAGGCTTTTATATTAGCTCTGTGGCAATTAGAAAAAGGAAACTTCTGTAGGTGGAAATGGCTCATAGAGCCTGAAGTGGCTGGGGAAATGCTGGCTGACCCTCCATCCATACTGGCCTTGTCCCCTTGGCTAAGAACTTGAACTCAGCCAGTTGATATTGTAAAACCAAGATTACATTAAGTTCAATAGAGCAGCTTCATGAAAATGGTTACGTTTGATTAATTGCTAAGCAACTGTGAGAAATCAAGAGCAGGAAATGACACTATCAGTCTCGTTACATCCATGATCTGATTTATTCACAAACCAAAAATAATCACAACAAAATATACACTAGTTAAAAACCAAAAGATTATGATGACATAACATGTAATATTCTCTCATATAAGTGCGCACAAAGTGTTTTGCTTGCTTCTACATACATTTCTAGTAATAGTTTCTTATAGGGAAGGAACACAGACCAGACTCTGCAGCTGTTAGTTTATAAGAGTGTTACTATGAAGCCACAAACTAAACTAATGATCAAAAACATTTATCTATATCCAGATCCACATACACATACATTCACCCATTGAGAAATAAACATTCCTTATTTTATCCCTTTCCTATTTTCCCCCTCCCCTTACTAAAAGCAAGGTAGGACAGGCTATTTTTCTTCCTACTTTTAATTGGCCTCGGAAGATGCACTCTCTAATTCATGAGAATTGCGAAATTTCAGGTGTTCTTCTTCTGTACTCTTAGGGTCCGGGTGGAGCTTGTCTTCATGGCTATGAAATTCTTGGCTGTGGAATTCAAGGTTGGATTTGGAGATTTCCTGACTATTAAGCATATCAGAATGCTCACTGCTCACATCATCTGTCTTCAGCGTATATTCTTTGGACTGCTCTTGGCTGTGGGTTTCCATGCTGTGGAGGTCACTCAGCTGACTGGGTTCATGACTGTCCTGCTGGTAGCTGTCCCAAACAGAAGACTTCTTTAGGGCCTGGACCACAGGGATGATCTTGTGTGCATCTTTCAATTCTTTGGATTTTACGTGTGAGAAGAAGTCCTCTGTCTCATCAGAATACTGAATTGGAACAAAAAAGGAAGGCTATGAAATGAACAGCAAGAGACAGGAACATGGTAATTCTGTTTTATTGCCTAACTTTTTAGTTTACTTTATACTGAAAATCATATAATGTCTAGAGTAAAATAAAACAACAACCAAAAAACCCCAATTAACTAATGCTATGTTGTTATGTGCCGTCCAGTCAGAACTGTCTCATAGCTGACCATCCAGTAGGTTTTCAGAGGTTGTGAAACATGTGGAAGGAGAGTGCACATCTTTCTCCCATGAAGCAAATGGTAGATTAGATTGACTTGCCTTTGGGTTGACACTACAACTCCTAAACCATCACTACAACCACTAAACCATCAGTTGTTGTTATGTGCCTTTGAATTGACTATGACTCATAGGGACCCTTTGCACAATAGCTTGAACCTTGAACTATCTTAAAACAATCTCACTGTCTTTTGAGACATCTGTCCTCCTTATCCCAGTTACTGTGTTAATTCATCTCATCCAGAGTCTTCCTCTCCTGTGGTGATCCTACACCTTTCAAAGCATGATATCCTTCTCCAAGGACTAGTTTCCCCCTGGCAACATGCCCCAAAACACATACTCCCTTTAACAACTAATAGTAATTTGTAATTTACCTTTCCTTCAAAAAGTATCATCTCCTTTATACACATCTTTGCTTTACATAAAGGGAAGGTCAAAGTTAAAAAATCAAGAGAAGAATGAACTGAAAGATTGTGTCAACTCTAGATCCTTTGACTAATGAATGATTCAGTGTCCTTTACAACTCTACAATTTTTCTTGCAAATTTAGCTTCAGAACATGATCATTAGATTTTGAAAATAATCACTGTTTTCTAAAGTCTTCATTTAACCTGAAAAAGTGAGTAGAACAAATATTTTAGAGCTAGGACTTGGAGAAACAGAATTATATTTCAGTGAGAAAATGAAGAAGAAATGATGTGGACTTCAACATAAACACCAAATAGAATAAGACTTTATATGTAATGGTTATAGATTACTAATAAATGCTTGTTATTTGCTTGGTGAACAAATGAATGCATGCATAGGCTCTGGTTTGCTAGAGATGAGTTCTGGTCATAACTCTCCAAAGTATCTGTTAAGGGACTTACCTGGATTTGAGGTCTGCTCCTTGACTTCAGCCCATAGCCCAAACTGTCACCTCGGCCATCATAAGGATCTACTGTGGGCATAGCGGGTGAGAACACTGGAGTTGATGGATCCTCAGTGGGAGAATCAGTGGGAAGTTCATCAGATTCATCAGAATGATGAGATTCATCAGAGTGGTAGGGATCATCATCCGTGTGGTCTTCCGAGTCATCTGACTCAGTGGAGTCCTTGCTGTCCACGTGGTCTATGTCATCTTCATCGTCCACATCGTCTGTGTGGTCAGGGCTTTCATTGGACTGACTTGGGAGGGTCTGAAAATGGAGATGGTTACAAAAATTAGAGCATGTCTTTTTATTTAGCTTAGTTTTTATAGAGTATACTATTCTTCTTTCATGTAGTCGAAGGATCTTTGTGTCTACAATACGTCGTTGGTTGGCCAGCAGTGTACTAGGACATCAGAGTTCTCTCCTCCATGCCTATACTAATATTTCATGGCATTTAGGAGCTAAAGTGTGAGAATATAAAATTTCTCCTTTCTTGACTCGCTAAAGTGTTCATGTGATTATATTCCAAACTATTTTCCTTACTTTCCTATAAATATTACTTTTATAGATATTTTCAAGCTGAGTAAATGTACCATTCATACTGAAAATGCTGTTTTCCCTTAGATATAATAGATATTATTAAACTGAGTGAAAACTAAGTGATGCAATAGATTGTTGTGATTGTTAGGTGCTATTGAGTCAACTATGAGTCCTTCCTTGCAACTTAAAATCTCTGAAATGCTAGTAGAGGATCATTTTAAGTCAATTTCAACTTGATGGCAATGAGTGAGTTTTTTTACACAAAGGCGTAGAAACATAATTGTGAGGCTGGGTTTTCTACTTGAAATTTTGGAATCTGGAAATGAGAGCATGAGTATTTGGACCATACGTACCCAATCCTATAACCCCCTCACTGTGAACATGGGTGATTAAAAAGGAATTCTGTTATGCATGCATGAATAAACTGCAACTTCAGTTTAATTCATTAGATAATTGTAAGGTATTAATTCATTAGACAGCCAGTTAATTCATTAGATAATTACAAGGTATTAAAAAGACAGCTACAAAAATATCTTAAGGAAGTAGCAAGAGACTTAAGTCAGTAAAATAACAAACTTTTTGTCAACAGTTGTTACAACACTGAATGGACAGAACATTTGGTATTTCTGACATCCAGTAAATACATTTGTTTTTCCTGAGCACATTTTAGACTGGCAATATACTAACTAAAATTTGCTGGTGGAATGTCATCAAAGAAAGCCCTGACAATATGATTAGAAAAACACCTGCCTTTCCCCCCATGCCTATAACGCAATGGAAATGGAGAACTCACCTCTTGTTTAAGGAGGTCTGTTTCTTCAGAGGACACAGCAGTCTGCACAGGAGGGAAGGGCACATCATCAGTGTACCTTATACATGCTTAGATCTTTGATCCAAAAGTTAACATTTCCAATTCAACTCAGTTCTTGGTTTTGCCCTGATTGATGGATGGTTACAGTGGGAAGAAACCAAGGGGCAGATCAATCCATATTCTAAACACTTGTTTGCCAACAGGCAGAAAGAATGGAAGCGCTTAAGCAACCCAAATGCTCGGCTTTGTAGCTCTTTTTCTTGAGGGAAGCATAAACATACCTGTGGTGGTAGAAGAGCCTGCTTGTGAGATGGGTCTGGCTTTAGCCATGTGGCCACAGCATCTGGATATTTGAGGTTGAGCTATAAAGAAAAAAATTGTATATTTGTCACTTGTATTTTGCTGCCTATTTAAAAAGGCAATTTGTCACTCTAGGAAACAAAAACATAGGGGTCTCTAAAGGATAGGCTGGAGAAAGAACCATGCCAGTCATCGATGGGTGAGCATCACACAGTCAATCAGTCTTTGGGACTCTGGTTGTATCATTTAGATATTCTTACAGATTAATTTAGTTAACTCTGGCATAGCACCTACTGGGTGCACATTTTTAAAGTGCTTTATGCCTGTTAATGAATTTAATTTTCTCTACTCAAAAGAGGTTGTTGTTATTGTATTCATAGCTGACCCTACAGTGGGTTTTCAAAGGCTGTAAATCACCCAGGAGGAGACTGTAATCTTTTTCCTATTGGAGCAGTTGGAGAATTAAAAATGTGTGCCTTTGAGTTGGCAATGCAGCTCCTTATCTACTAGGCCACCAGTGTTCCTTCCCTATGAGGTAGCTTGCATTCATATTTTACTTTATTTTTATTGTTGTTGTTGTTGTTGTTGTATGCCGTCAAGTTAGATCTTACTAACACAGGAGGAGACTGCCCACCCTTCTCCAGCAGAGCATCTGGTGGATTCAAACCAGACACCTTTGGGATGCAGTGCAAGTGGACAAACACTTCTTAGTCTATGTACAGATTTCTCAGTAACACAATT